TGAACAACACGGAGGCAAATTCATAGCAACAATACCGCCTTGAAGAGCTTGTTTCTGACAGGTCATCAGTGCTATTTAGGCTATCAGGTTAGTGAAAGAGCGAACAGTGAACAGCAAGAAAGATAGATAGAAGAAAAGGACCTTATGTAATTAAGTGCATATTAGATTCACAAGAAAAACATGGCTAGCAAAAGCAGGCAGCGTTTACGCAAACATTGTTAACTGTATGGATAGCGGCGATTGTCCATTAGATTTTTATGAAGCTGGGTGACGACGAACACTACGCTGAACTGATGTCCTGGTTTTCTCCTTCCAGTGGCCCTTCTCCTCCGCACCCCATTCTTGACCCGCCTGATTCCTGCCGAAATAATGGACTTGTTGCCGACGGCAACCAAGGTTTAGTGTGGAATTTCTGGGTAATAGTGGACTAGTGCTGCTGTCGTATAGGACCACAGCGGGCATGCAGGAAAAATAGTGCCTATGATAGCGGTCGCAATGGCAGTGGACTTGGCCTGAGCTGGCGGCCTTCGCTATATTGTAATGGATCGTTTGCTTTCAGCTGTTGCTGCCACTATAAACAACCAAACAACAATATTTAGCACTGCGCTCCAGTTCTGCTTGAGATGGTCAGTGTAAGGTATGTTTTTGAATAGCCACAAGGAGTATGTCCGCGCCTATCAGACATATGTGTATCCATAGTAGTAAAAGAGTTCGTGCGTCTGTGTTCCTTTTTTTTTGATTGTCAAGGTATATTTCCCTACATTACAGTATGTGCGTGTCGTACCCGTCAAGAGTTATCTAATGGCCGCCGAAGCACAACTTACACCAATAGCTGAGTGCCTGTTGAGAGAGGGAGATTCTTATTTGAAAACTATACCTAAATAAAAACACTTTTATCAGAAATTGTGTCAGTATGTTCTACACTAAGAAATTATACAATTCCACTCTTCGGCATAGTTCGAAAGTAATGTTCGTAGCTGCATATCTCCTCTATGAGGTGTATAGCTTCGAAGTAACACTGAGCGCTTTTACTACGCTACCTTCTTGATTCTCATTCAAGTGCTGCAGGGCTATTTTCTGCAGTTTCTTACACACTTTGAATTAGGGATCTGCGTGCGATTGTCGAAGTTTTTCATCTCCCAATATCTAAAATGAGCTAGACTAATATTTTTTATAGTTTTTAAAGAAACTACATGGCGAAAAGGATGAAGCAGTAACTCAGTACTCATTAAGACATGACAACAGTCTTCGTTTCCTTCATGCTTCAAAATAATTCGTTTATGAAAAATCGGTTATAGAACACTTAATTCATTTTTTTTTTTATATTTTTGTGGTCACCAGTAGTCTTCAGCTGGATACTGCACTACCGTTCAACCCGCAGTTAAGCACGATCTGCAATGTGTCCTCGATTCATCTACGGTATGTGTCACTAAATCCCTTCTACAAACCTTCCATATCACATATTGAAAGCGTTACTGCCTTTTGTTTTTCTGCTACGTCCTAAATTCACTTCGAATTTATGGAGAACCTATAATCTTCCATACGTTGCATATATCCATAGTGCTGTATATATATATATGTGTGCCCACCTGTATGTAGAGTCCAGACGATGCTACTTGTGTCATAGGCTACCTGGCTCAAATAATGCTTAGCGGTACTATGGGATACATAATTCGAAACTTTTATATAGTCGCTCATGCTCATAGTAATCTTTTGAACTATCTACAGTAGCTCCTTTGGCATCTCGCGGAAGCCTATAAGGTAGTTCATAGAGGTTTTATGACACACTTCGTACATAATAAAAAAGCGAGGGCATGATGTATGAGCGAGAAACAGAGGTAGGCTGTGAATAAAAGCCAAAATAAGTAAAAAATAAGAAGCGCAAAAACAGGTTTATGGTTGTCACAGAGACTTGAGATAAGTGTGGTAACAGTTATTTACATGCCAAAAAATACTCGAAGATAACAATTGTTTAATTTGTTTAGTCTGAACAAGAACTGGATGTCAGGCCACTAATAGTACGTAGTCTCCTGAGTGCTTAAAAACAGTCCATACATTGTCGTTTCGTGGAAATTTATATTCGAACGTATTTAAGTGATTGGAGTCTTATGTTTTTGCTCACTGCGGAGCTGATGCTTTATACAATAATACATAAAGTCAATTCTAGCTTCTAGTAAAGAGCGTCTGCTTACTCGCCAGTAAACCAGGTCTGCCGCACTTGCTAAGTTCACAATACGGTGTATTTGTAAAACTCTATTAATCAAACTGAGAGGAATATAAATGAAAAGAGCTATTCGATAAGCACCAAGACTATTCTTTTTTTTTGGTTGTTTGACTGGACGAAGCCTGCGATTAGGTGAAGCCTGATTCGAATGAACACGTATCGACCTAACATGTCACAGATGTCGCAACGTGTTCTTCCATTATCGAGGTATTTCGTACGAACGTTTCGTGGGGCTTCACGAACCTACTCAGGGGCTATGTGCCTTTTTTGACCGTCGCATTTCAAGCGGCTAACTGTTGCAAAAGATTTGAGAAGCACCACAATGGCAGCATATTAATATAAAAACTATGTTTAAAGAAAGGGAATCAAGTATTAGCGAATTACGGGTAAGACAGGAGCTCTTCTCTGAATGATATTTGCAGCCGGTTTATGTACCGCAAAGGCCCGAAGTTGTCGTATTTAGTTCCAATTTATGGTAAGAAAATCTCATTTTCGACGGTTTTCCGTAATGTCTCGAATATCAACTCGTCGTATCATTTGAAGTGTCTCTCAAGCAAACAGAACATATGTTTAGGTAAAAGAAAATTCAATGTGGAAATCAAAACTACAGAGCGTTTCAACGTTGGGTCGTTGTTAATTCTTTTGGTACGAGGTACCTTTCTATTAAATTTTCTTGGCCTGAAGCCTCTTTTTGATGAAAATCCGCGAGCATCTTTTGCACAGAGTAGTGCTATCTATCACCATGACAGAAGTGCATAATAACTTGGAAGAAGTCCACTTAGACAAAAGTTTATCGGACTAGCAGCTAAGTTCAACACAATAGACCTTCATTGGGGTTAGCCGAACGGCATAAATACTATGTATTCAACATTTCCTCCTATGGAACCTGTTTCCAGACTACCGTAAAAAATGGCTTTTCTTCAATAAAGATAATGACAAAGAAATGCTAACAGATATTTAATCGTCAACCAGATTTTCAAGCATTTTTTTAAAATTTTCTGGCCGTTGAGATTTCTCTAAACCTGTATTATTTTGCCTTTGTAGGCACTTCGAAGGATGCAGTAGATCATTTAGACGGTGGAAAGGTATGTTTTCTAATAGGAAATCACGAGAAAAGCTGCGTTAAAATATTGTGCCCCTATAGAGTTTAGATATGTACTGCTTTTGTTAACAAGATATAATATAGTAACTAACGCAATAACTACACAAAATCTGCTTGACCGACAATGTCGCTCTGCCGCCGCTTAAGATCGAGTTGACCTTCTCATCCAGTATAGTCAGTGTTATGCCTTTTACAATGGTGCCTTTTACAAAGGCACGATATATTCCTTGGATAATTAAATTTATTTAAATAATTTTTTACATTAGTCGCGCAGAACATTAAGAAACGTATGTGTTAAAATATTTCCAAGGGTAAACAATCTTGGCATATTTCTCTGGTGTAAGAAGTCGTCGGTATATGGTAATATAGCTTTGGCCTACCTGTTACTACAATACCATAGAAAGGCATTATTCAAAGCGTGAGGATTGTAGTGAATTCAATGTTTCATGGTTGTTGACCGCCGATACTGTATACCGGAATACATTATTTACCAGTAATCAGCATACGACTAAGTTACAAATTGAAGTCACATTTAAAAAGTTTACGCCACCTTATTGGATGGTGTATGGCGTTTCTATTGGTGGACCACCAATAGAAACATGCCACGTCTCCTTACTTCCCTTTTATATGTCTAAAGCTACTCCTTAGAAGCTGCCGTGAACGCGGTTCCACTTAGATAGCCTTTATCTTACTCTTTAGCGTTTGTCAAAGGTTCCTTGGCGCGGCCTTCTAACGTTTCAAAAGAAAAAGAATCATCGAACTAGGGCAGGATATTTCTCATTCTAAGGTTTCTGAAAGCTGACGTGCCAAGTTGACAGTATGATTCGGGTACGCTGCTTTACGACTGAAGTATGGTGGGTGTGAAGGATCAATCGCGGCGCCATTTTAAATCAGGACATTGGTGCCCTTTATAAAGGAAATGTCTCATTCCATTAGTCCGTTTAGTATCCGAGCGACAAAGATCGTCAGCTGAAACACATATAAAGTGGATTCTAAGTCAAGAGTTTTCATAGATGATGTCAAAATGATAATATTTTTGTTGACGGCCGAAGGCTTGAAACTTTGGTCCGAGCTTTTTGAGCATAAAACCGTACGACCATCAAGAGGTTCACCGCAATGGCAGGGTAGGATGACAAGCAGTTTACTTTCAAGACGAAAGCCCACTGCTAAACGTGTGCACCGAACATCTAGCACACCGCTAATAGATAGCAACGCACGGCCAAAGTCACGCCACTACTCAAGGCCGAGCAACAGATATAAAGAGCAGGTTCAACAACCTAAATCAATTACCTAATAGACTGATTCATGAAGGAGACTCCTTTACTTGTGCCGAATCCGTAACTCTTCAAGAGGCAGCAAATCTGGAACGTGTTGGAGAACAAGAATCAGGCACATTATCGGACTATCAGTTCAAGGTTTATAGACGAAAGTTCTATCTGTATCTAATTGCTAGTTTATTCCTGCTGTTTAACTGCCGAACAGCGTAGAAAGAAGAGAGATAGGGTTTAAATCAGTATTCGAGCACTTTCCTTAGCTATCCTTTTACCTATTGTTTTTTGTTATAGGACAATCAGACACTGCCGGGAACGCAAATCTCTAAATAAAGGGTTACATATTGATAAATTGTTTTTTAACGAAATCGTTTTGAATTTGTGTTTGTTACAAAGCCCTCCTTTCATACCATTTGACGAAGCGTAGTTCGAAACCGTTTCAACAATTAAAAGAAGTACTTTCTTGTTACATCTAGAAGTAATATTATAGGACAATTTCTACTTCACTGAAAGGTCTAGAGGATCAATGGGGTAGATGAGGAATACTTAAAATTAGGGTTGGGGAGGATGTAGCATAGCAACTAGAGTAGCCTAAATTAAGCAGAACATTTTTAGAGAAAATAGCTGATTTATGCGAAACGCTTGCACTACACTACATTTCTAAGCGCAAAAATCCGCCCATCATAGTGACACAAAGCTGTATAATCGTATTGGGACTAATCTAACAAAGCTCGAAATAAAACGGCCCCTACCTTCTTTAGATACTGGAAGTAAGCATTTTGGTGTGGCGTATGAGTGGCATAATACATAAATATAAGGAAAAAAACGCACACGATTTGAGGCTTATCATCGTGTGTTGATAGTTTTGTGGTAATGAGTTTCCCAGCGTCGAACACGATAATATTATGGGAGTTACCTCCCGATAGGGGACGGTGGCGCAATATTAATAACAATAATAATAGCTTTCAATAATAATAGTAACAATAATAGTTTTCGTATTAATTGAAAGCCATTGATTGTCCTTCGGTTTGCCCCGTTAAGTTCCTGCAGCGTTGTGCCCGAGTTAGTCCTTCCCAAGTTGGTCAGCGCACAGCATTGTCCTAGTCGCTCCTGCTACTCGAATAGAACAAATCTGACTGGATGCTAGCACTTGACCCCAATTGTGGTGGACCTGTTGAAGAAAGGACAAAAGCGCAGCGGGTACCAACAGCCGTTCTCTCACGCCCCCTAGCCCCAGGCCCGTTCGCCCAAGCTGCTTGCTCATCCAACCTCCCGGCTTCTTCAGTAGTAGTGAAGGTCGCCTGGTCAAACCTCTCGTGTGTTCCTTAACCTTCGGCCCGCTCAACCGAAGCAAACCCAAGAACTCCCATCCCAGTTTTCAGTTCCGGATTGCCCCCATCGAATCCTTGTTTCCTACAATCCTATAGAGTATGCTCAGTCCCGTAGAAGGCCAATTACATAGTAGCACCCCATCACCATCTCCTCTATCCTTATCATTCTCTATAGAATCAGCCTGGCGCTGACCTGCATCGTATCCACTCAACCCTTCGTGAATCACTATGGACCTTGTAGCAAGCAGCAGATCTTTTTTCCTAGCAGCGCAATTATGTTGAGCCAGCAAGCCTAATTGCCATTCAAGCAGAGTCCGATCAGTTGCTTGGCGTCAGTGGATCTACACAGGCGATCTTGTCGACTAATTGAAATCGGTGGCTCCCGCCGACTAATGGTAATAGCGGAAATGGTACAATGAGGTGGCATGTGTTGCGTTTGCAGGGGCGCTCGTATAGACGTACTGGCCTTGCAAACATGTGTAGTTCCATAGCAAAATTGTTGTTGTTGTCGTCGTCGTTGAATGCTAGCAGTTTTCGGTGGCCCGATGCCGCCCTCGGTACGCCCACAGCCTTCGCTCTCGAACAATCATCTGCACCTGTTAGCGTGCAAACGGTCTAGCCGGATACCTTACCTACTATGTGTGTGTGCGGACAATCTGCGAACTGTATATAGATGCTAAGTTAACTATATATATATATATATACTAGACAACAACAATCGTTAGCGCGGATTCGTTCGGCGGGTTGCAGCGGACCGGTCATTGCTGCTCGTATGTATGAACGATGAACCCACTCAAATGGTAGATTATCCTCATTTATTGATATGTCAACGCACTTGCAGTCTAGTATTTAGCGCTCAATGTTATGCTCGTTTCTGTTATGAAGTACAATTAGTCAGACTAGAGTAACGGCTGACAAGGACACTTGTCAGCCCCTATTTACCTTGGTGATGCCGGCTTATACCATACTACGGTCTGGTTATATTAGATCGATAAATATAAACAGTATAATTACAAGTTGTTGGATGACGGCTGGCGGACTGAGTGAACGACGTTCTAGTGCGTACTGCTGCCGTCAAGTTAGCCGAATCCCATATCCCAAAATTTGTTCATCATAGTGCAGGAACGAAAATGGATGAGTTATCGAAGCGGCTATTGTTTGTCGTAACTGCAGCAGCGTCTGTTAATAAGCTAAGATACGACAATGCGTTTGTCGTTACATTCGTTTACTTTACTCGTTTATGGGCTTGTTCCATTACATAATCCTCAAAATGTGTCTTAAAGATGCTAAAGATGAGCATAGCTTACGCGATCTGGTTGTATATCTCAAGCATCCGTTTGGCAGCCTGACGGCGGTCTCGTATGGTAAAATCGGTGATGTGCCAGCTTAATGGAAGTCGATGAAGCAGAGCGTACGTCTATGGCAAAATAGAACATTGCTTGGTTGAAGCTATCGCAGCACGACATTTCGGCGGGCAGTCAACTCTCAATGCCACAATCTGAATGCGACGCAACAACGTAAGGCATCAGATAAGTAAAAATAACCAAAAACAAACCCCATAGAACATCATAGACACGCACACGTTTTGTCGGCCAATTTCAACAGTCAAGAGCAATCGGCTTTTCCTTCTCCCTTTTCTTCGTTGTCTTCACTGTTGTAGCGCTGTGTGATGTCGGCCGTTAGTTGAACTGCAAAACGTTACGTTGCTACATTGACATATAGGCACGTAATAAAAACCCTGGACTTTGTCATGAAGTGATTTTATCCGCATAGAGAAGCACGTCGCGTATGTAAGTGACTCACGTCCAGTAGGACGTAGATGAAGTGGGCGGCGTTGGCGATATGTAATGAAGCTGTAGGGCTAAAAAGGAGAGTCGATAATGAGGGACACGCATGACGGCCCAAGAACCCCAATGCTTGAGGCGTCATTTTTCCTCCGGCCAATGAAATAGCGAAGACGGCGTTTGGCAGTTCGGCTTTCTGAAAGATTTTGAAAACCTGTTGTTGACATAGCATTGTAAAGCGGAAATATCTCTAGGCGATCACTAAGCGTCACAGACGAGTTAGTGTACGATATGTGAATCCTATACTTGCTATATTATATTCTATGGGTATAACGAGATTATCGTGAATTTAACTTGAACAATGACCCCAGGTATGTTTCAATAAATTCGAAATTGCCTAAATGACGTTTCAAGTACAGCCTGTATTGTACAATACGACAGTGTTTTAATGGGTAAAGTAAATAGTAAAAAAATAGTATTTATACTAAGAATTAATATAGTTTGGATTTGCGGATAAAAAGTAGAGTGGCGCTTTACCTTCGCCAGCAGTGGAAAGAGTTTGGCTTCGATAGGTTCTAACCGTAGTAACAATACGCAAGACATATTCAGTTGCTTCTCTGCTTTTGATTGACTCACCTTCCTTTTCGTAGCGCAGCTTTAAATATATACATCGACACCTGTATTATATACACACACACCTGAAAATTAAAATAAGATCTTTCGAGCGTTTCTAAATGTGCTTTCATCACCCTTCCGAGAAGCCGGCTTCCACTATCTGCGTTGCATCGTTCAGCGAACAATAAACTATTTCTGGACTTTGCCAGATCTTCTTTACTCTTATTTTCTCACTATTACAATTATCGACTCGCTCCGTGGCCAGGCAATAAATTACATGTCCGCAAATTTAATTAAAACTGATCTCTGAGAGGAAACAATTCCGCAACGTTACAAGATGTCCTGGATAAACATCCATCGTTGTACGATTTATAAGCGAACACATGCGTAGGCATAAAAAATCCGCATTGCTAACACGCACTTACTTACCCTAGTTATAAGTTTCAAACAAACAATTGTCAAGTTGCTACTGTTGTTCTAGCAAAATGATCTGAATTGCTTTACTAAAAGGTCGATCTATGTCTTCTACCCTGCCATTGACTCCCTCATTTCTCATTGCTCTTCTATAATACTTCAATGACAGCTAGTAAACAATATGTTTTGAATTATACTATCGGTTCCATTTAACCAATCCAACTAACCATAAATTATAGCCGAAATGTATATATTTCGGTAAATTTTCGAAGTAGGTTCATATAAACCCATCCTAATGTACTTGGTATATGCGTGTGCATTTGTGTTGGCCGAGGTTGTTAACGTTCTCGCTGTTTTTTTATCGGGTCGAATTAGAAAAAGACTGTTCGCGCTCATCGTCGTTCGACAGTCACGCGAGCGAGTAAGCGACCAATGTCTCCGCCCTTTCGCTGTCGTTATCGCCGTCAGCGGAAGCAATAGGGTAGCGGCAATATTTCTGTAGTGAAGGTCGTAATATCTCACGTGTGCATATTCAATCATTTCCGTTATTAGGTGACTAGTGTACATAGGCCTGTGAACGGTAGCGATGGCAATGGCAAAGGCAGCCGCCGCAGCCATGCTCAGTGCGACACAGATGTAAATGGCATTAATCAAGAGCCCTGCATCGACCTCAGAACCGTCCCCGACGCACGGCCTGCCGTCGCTATCTTCTGCTTAGAGTTCCAATGGCCAGGAAGAATCTACAGCCGAATCTGCGGCGGTGAGGACCGACCGAGGCAGGATAGCTAAGATTGCGTTAGTCAGGCTATCGTCTACTTTGCGCATCCTACGCATACGAACGTATACCGTAGCCGTCGTCCTGTAGACAATTATAATCAATGCTCAACCAAGATTGTGGAGGGTATTTCCAGAAGTACATTACGTCCATGTACGTCGTCACGCTAACGAATGACTGAATGTCGGCAAAACACTGTGCTGAAATACACTGAGCATACCTGCTATGACACTGCTGTAATACGTTGCAATATATTAAAGAATATTCGTCTCATCCTGTCTAGTTAGAACAAAAAATGCCGAGACAGTGAAAAACTTACAGCCCGCCTAAAAATTAGAATAAAACGTTTGGCTATTACTAGCCATAGATATAGTCTAAAAATGTTTGCAGCCATCATACATGCAAGCATTGTATACGTGACATGGATAGAAAATGCCGAAAAGACATAAATAAGATCCATCGTAACGCGATGTTGTACACAGTACTACACCTTCTTTTTCGCTCAACTTGAAGATATGCAAAATTCTTTTTGGTCCTCAGTTACACCGATTCATTCACTTATCATACTTCAGTTCCCATCAGTTACCCGTTTGATGAAAGATTTCTCCTCAAATTGCTAAATAGCTTAAGGCAACTTTTGCGATGGGTCGCAAATATCGAGTTGTCAATAGGGTTTATTTCAGTGTTGTTTTCTCTCCTTTTCATAAAAGATTAATTAAGGAGAACATTCAATATTTGTCAAGTTCGAGACGAGAAATCTGAGTAGAAATCTAGCGGGATGGAAAGGGATTTCCAGTAAGGGTATACAGCCACGTGCCAATCAATGTTCAGAACAGAAACAAACTCAGTACAAATTTTATCTCTTAAATAATGATTGAAATTATATACGTATTAGCGTTTTTAACGTACCAACCTGTATATTAATAAACATTAGTAGAAAGCGTCTCTATTTACACATAAGGGTGTGTGTTTGACAGAAGAATATGGTAATAAATAGATAGTCAAAAAGAGCGCTTCTACTTCTTGTTTTGCAGAATGAACGTCGAGTTAGACAGGTTGAAGCAACCCCTCGGTTATTAGCTATGATTGCGACAGCTTTGACTCCCGTCAAGCTGCCCCCGACGAACACCACCCCTCGTGGTCCATCGCTGCCTTCCAGTTGCGTATTAGGTAGAGAACTCATCAGTGATTTCAACGCTTCGTCATGTAATCAGATCAGCCAGGCCAAATCGGGCTGAAAAGCAATACCAACAATGACCAAAATAAGGACAGCAGCAAGGTCCGAGACAGTCGCAGAAACACCGGCACCGTCAGCAGAGGCGGTCGCATTAACGAAACTAATAACGATGCCCCAGCCGGACGTAATCCTGGAGTAGTGTCCTTTCTCACTGGAATGCCTGCCGTCGGCATTTGGTGCCATGGTAAGCATTCTTCACCGGCAGCAGTAACGACAACACAGTTACGGCCATGGCTACAACTGCCGTTAACCTCAGCCTGCTGCAGCCGCACTATTTGAACCGGGTCGACTGGCCTGTTCCAAAAATCGACTTAAACCCTTTTATGCAGGTTGATAAAGCTTCCATTTCTTACTGTTACCGCCTCGCTTTGTTCCCCTTCTTTTTCTTTCTGTCTCTCGGTGCCTTCGTCCACTCCCTCGCCTGCCCTTCGTTATTAGTCTGTTTTTTCAAACAGCTTACATACTTATGCCGATTTTTTGTGCTTTCCTTGTGTGCATTGCAATGCCGTATCATTTCCCGCATGCATAGAGAATGGTGCATGTGATTCGAGAAAGATTCGAGCGAAAAAAACGGAAAGAAAGACCCCTTAGCGTGTCAGGAACATGCACGCGGCGTGTGACGCATTCGACTACGCCGAGCTCATACTGTGTCTACGTAATGTGCGTACTGGGTGATCCGTTTTATCAACACTTTCGCATTACAACGATTACCGAGGCCACTTGGCAGCATGAGACCTGGCTAAGGGCTAGACGGATTTTTTTAATGCTTCAAAAAAAGCTGCACTTCATTTGGGCATTCAAATAGTGCAAGTGGAGAGTACAAATAACGAAAGTAATATACGTGCAACTAAGCAGAAATGCAGGTATCTATCAATACGCTGATATAATTCTACTATGGAACTCGCATGGACGCCTTTTGGTAAGAGCTGTTGTATTTGTCAACGGATTGTGAACACAACGAGTACAGCCATGTCTGTCAACGCGCCTTCTGATGATTCAGAAGAAAAAGTTAAAAAAGCACCATTCTAATATGTCCGGATGCAAACTTTCTTTTAGACCAACTTCCTTTTCTCATTAAATAAAATCCAAGTCGAAAAATATCAGCGTGTTGTTTATTTTGATACATGATGAGACGAGGTCTCACTATCACCAGCTCATCGTTTGAGTGGATGATTACACACTTTTTTGCTAGTTTGAAAGTACTTTCTGTAGTCTACTCATCCGCTGTATATGGACCCTGATAGTTACGATATAAGATTTAGAGCTTCCTTCTTGGTACTACCGTCGCTCCGACTGACGTCCTATTGATGTCACCTAATTAAATTAGCGAATAAATGAAACCCCGATAACTATACAAAATACCCGCGGACAATGTTAGCTTATTAAAGTAACGCAAGTTGGAAGCTGAGCTTTATTGAGGTCAAAATATGGATACTTAAATTGCTCGCTCGCATCTTGCGAATGTTGGACAGATGGATATGCTTACGACAACCTATCTTTTTCCTTCTCTCTCTGTTCCTGGGCAGTAAGTGGGAGCTAGCATGGAGTTCGAGGTCGACTGCAGGACTAAGCCATTGCCGCCGCAGCCGACTAACAGTGAGGGTGCCGTGAGTCGAACAAAAGTTTATTTTACTGAGATAAGAAAGGCCTCGCCGACTTGCTTTGCAAGCTTTATCCGTCATACGTTGTCTGCGCAGCAGACGACATTGCGTCGTCTCTTGCACTACTCCGGACCGTTCCGTACCCCTTGGCCTGACAACGCCAAGAGCGTTGCGACCGATGCCGACACAGCCGATTGGCACAATGTATTAACAACTACAGCAATAGCAGTAAGATCTCCGAAAAAGGCTGCACCAGCAGCTTCAGCTGTCTCAGCGTACACCCTCTCTGTTATCCATGCCACCTATCCAAAGCCCAGGCCTTCTATTTTTAATGTGCCCTTGATGTAGTCTTCGTCCGCTTTTACGATAACTGTGCTCATTTCTACTAAGCCAGTAAGGGCTGGTGCTGTGACCCTGTTGCCCTTTTAGGGCGCGGTTGTTATGATGGCCCCATGGCCCCGAGTATCATCCAAGAAGCGAAAGATGAATAAGAGAATGTTTAACGATTACGCGTTATTTCAAAAATATTCTGAAGCTAGCGCTCAGACAACAGACTGATTAAAATGAGATATAAGCGCTGGGGTATTGAACGCCAGCGAGGAGGTAACCAAATGCAAAATATGAACTACAGGAATATATATTGTTGCAATTGCAGAGGCTTCTTATGAAAGTAGAGCTTGAAGTTCGAAAATTCTGTAGGCGAACATTTACTGGCATTTATATGTAATCTGTTACAGAATTATAACTTAAATGCTGAGAGTGCGGAAACTGAATCGCCCGTAACTTAACTCCAGACCAGTATTCTACGTGCACTTTACGAGACCTTCATCTACAAAAACCCCGATGTGCACATACAATTGCCATAGACGAGTGTGGTCAATCCTTACCACCAGCCGAAGAAAGAAACAATGGCGTCATACTAGAGGTGAAACAATCAATGCACCCTACTATTTCGGGTTCCTCAGCAAACTCATGACACAGCAACCGGAAGCATACAGTGTCCTTACTTGAGGACAACGCTAGACCTCATTGCCATTCCTCTATTACTTCATGGATTGGAGAAAGGAACATGCAACGTGGTCTTGCAGCGGCTTATTCTACCCTCCTAATTCAATGTGATTGCGGGCCCTTCCCAAGGCAACTGGTGGGAAAACGTATTTCACTATTGACTTACATGGAGAAACCTAGCGAAACGACATATGAGAACGCAAATCTTCCGAAACTGCGAGGACACTGGGAAAAGTATGTAAAAAATAAAGAACGGCACATTAATGCATAATAGGAATTCATTATTCTAGGCCAAGTCTTATTTAAGAGTTATTTAGTTTTAAGGTCTGTCGGATTCGTTTGATACATTTTACGTTGCACAATTTGTTACGGCATCACTTGCGCGGACAATGTTTTTACCCATATATTTGGCGAAACGACCTGCTGACGGATCTCTGCCCCGTGATGAAGAAACTTAAAAAATTTCGATTGCAAAACTTTGGAATGAAAAAATCCTTAAAAGATTAGATATTCGTAGTTATAAATCTAAGTCTTTCAGCTTTGTGTAACGGTACTTCAGTCGCCAATAACTTCAACGAATTGCTTTCATAATAACGTACTGGCGATAAAAAGAAAATCATTTAAGTTAAATTGCTTGCATTCATGGATGCTGAGGGAAGTATCTCTTGTGTGGTCTGAAGTGTGTATATCTAACAAAAGTCAATATTGAGTTTGTGAATTCTAGAATAGAAGTGTTTCGAAACAGCGGTCAATAGAGTAACTTATTTGTTACTGTAATTTTACGGTAATATTTCGATTATTTTATAAAAAATCAATGAGCCAATCACACTTCTAATACAGACAGATGTAAGTGAAGTCGGCAATCTTCGATGTCTGCTAAATGTACAATGAAACCTCGTGTAGGAATATCAGCGTATTTTTTGATGTTGTCTGTGTGGCGAATTCGTGTAAGGAGGTGTAAACAAAACAGCTTTTTCGGATCACTAATGAGGAGCTGTGTAGATCTCGGCGGAGTGCTGTTATAACTATGGAAGCGCGCTTACGGAAGAACCAGTTTGTATCTGCTTTTATACGCTTTTCAAGTCAGGGATACCTTTGTTCGATGGGATGAATCACACTGGTGGGTTCGTATCAGCAACCTGTGGCTCAAAAACTTACGGAAGATTCAGTCGACAGTAATTGCAATGCAAGTATCTAATACCATTTATGTGCAGCCTTTATATGCTTACGCTTAAAATATATTTTCATGCAATAATTTCACGTTTCAAATTAGAATGTTTCAATATTGTAAAATATTACTAATTGATACTGATATTGACTGTCAACGTCAATTCCAGAGTTCCGAATGTTCTTACTTGTGTTCACTACTTCTCTACAAACGGTCGGAGATATGACTGCCGATTTGTGCGTAGATGTTTGTTACTTTTACAATCTTAAGACATGCCACACAGACGGAGCGCACGCTACAAACGTTTACATAACTAAACAGGGAAGCGTATCGATTTACGGTAGTCATCATTCTGGCTGTCACTTTTAGGAAAGGAGGAAAATGGCGCTGATGATGCCGACAGCGTTCTTAATGGCGGCTCCTCCGTGGTCACATCGGTGCCTCGGATTCGTTATGAAGTACCCGTCAAAACACAGGTACTTGATAACGAATGAAGATGTCTACGACTTTAGAGTGTGCGGAGTTAATCGATACCAGCAGGCGAATAGAACGACTAATATACATTTTAAACTTTATAAACATATATATATATATATACACGGATAATCCATGTATCTGTACTACAGTCAGCTAATAAATCTAATCAATATTTTTACCCACAAATATGAGGCATTCATGTATTCACTCATCGTTGACGAAATATGTTTTTTATTAATTAATACGATCATTTAATAATAAAGAGACTGCTATTTGAAAAACTGCTATGAGAAAACAGCTTGCTCTATCTTTTTCTACAATAATCATTTCAGTTATAACTGTTTTTATTTACGTTATCATTGCGATTATCACCTTTGTGGTCTTATCGTAATTCTTCAGTCTTTTTTTATCAACGAAGTAATCGCTGTTCGTTGTGACCTATTTCTATCCCTCGGTACTTTCTTATTTATTTCTTTATTATTGTGCAATGTCTTCGTTGATCTCTATGCGGTTAGTGCTTCGGCAGACAATATTTCTTCGTAAAAGGGTTTCCGCGGCAATAAGCGTTTTTCCCTTTGTATCTGCGTCTGTGTGCCTATGATGCGTAACGTAGCGTAGAGTGATATGTGTGTGTGTGTGTGTGATATAACTGAAGTGCAGCTTACGAAGTGGCATGACCGGTGTTCGTAGTCCAATTCATCTTAATAATCATGTTTGTACAGCCTTAATAATACCCTAAACTCGCATGCTTGTTCTGTTATGAAGCATTTCGCTTCGATACTAACTAAGGTAAACAATGAACAGCGTGATCGATATTTATTATCGCTAGTTAATATTTTTTCCCAGAACCCAGTCTGTTATGTTTCCATTATATGTTGAGTAACTTTAAGGGACTGTTATGAGTTGTGCTTAATCACAAGTCGGATTTGCGGCAGCTTTAATCGGAAATTATTCGGCCGCTTATAGCGGAAGTTACCCTGCCTTCACTAGACGCATAAGACACTGACGATAACAATCCTCCAAACAAGTCTGAAGAGTACCTTTAGAGGGTCTAACAGTTCTACCTCTCAGTTCGGCGCTGCTAGTCTTGCTTGTTTTTTTTTTTGATCACATCATCACACCACAAGAGATCGATCAATAAGCCATATTTCGACAAAAAGCACACATGAAAGATATGGTTTATAGTAAAGCGCAGCTATAGCGAAGTTAGTTAAATCACGCAAAATTTATCAACTACATGCAACATAGCCCAACAGTTTCGTCCATAATTCGTCCCTACCACTGTTATTTTCAATCTTAATAAAAACAAAAACTGCTGCGAAGAATAAGTTTACTTACTAAAATAACATTATCTACGATACTGTATACAGATGAGAACAAACTAATTTCCACATGTACTTGTCCATCATATTGTTTATAGCTCAATGTGTCATTGGATCGACCTAGCGAGATACGTTTCCTCATTGCTATGATTGACATCGAAATGGATTCTAGGCACTATCCGTGTAGCACCATTATTTTAGGCCGTTTCCATAGTATGATTTCCCTTTTCGTCGTTGGTCTCACGAAGATCTAATTTAACCACTCCTATCGTCTCGTAGGGATGTTCAGATTTAAAAGAAAGTACCTTACATATCGCATGGCAGAGCAGAAAATCCGAAACTACCCGTATTAGTGCCCGCTAATGATATCGTTCTTTTTCAATGTTTCTGTAATAAGAAGGATTGCGTTTTAGCATCAGCGTGACTAACTCTACATACCACGTGCATCTATGCCTGCACGGATAGTATTTGGCTGGTTACAATTAGAGCTTGGTTACCATGCCTCTCCGCGAGATGGAAGTGAACTGCCATTCTGTTATGCGGTTTCTATGATCTCTCTCTCTATATATATATTTATCTCCGCTTTAGATAGCCATCAAAAGTCGCTAGTCCTATTTAAAAGATGATTTTGTGCCTAGCGGAAAGCAAGACGCGTCTCAGAATCATACGTATTGTATATTATAGTAGATAAAGAAATTGGACCATTCGTCCCTCAGCTTATATCCTATTCGTCCAAAAAAATCCTGAACCTCCACCAACCGACATTGGTAAAACCTAACTACTTGCCAATGAACGGCTTCCGCACTTCTGGATCGGACCATTCATTATTACCACATCGAAACGTATCACTGACTAAATAACTCTTTTGCACAAGGCCAACCTAGACATTCTTACCTCCTGTAATTAAACAGAATGTAGTATACATGTGAATATATCTAAACGAATTCGTAGAGATAAAAATACTTTACTTAATACAGAACGCATAATGGTCTAGTGGTATAATGAAAGAACAACGCTTAGGTATTCTGTAAAGCTTCACAATGGAAATATATAGGATTTACAATGTCGTACGTTTATGAAGACGCTTTATTGTTGCTAGAGTAAACCTTCTGGAACGGCGTGACATACAGTGATTGCTTGTCCAAGTCGCCAAAAGGCCAGAGCCCAAAACATGGCTGTGAAGCCTTTCGCTTACGAAATTCATTTTCATAGATACTTAAGGGTTGTGTTATGCTTGGTGTATTTGTATCACTAGGGCGATCCATATAAGAATGAAAACCGACCTAAGGTTGCTAACGACGGTCC